AGAGCAGATTTAGATAAGATATGAAGGAAAAATTCCTGCCTGTGAGGATGGGGAGGCCCTGGCACAGGTTGCCCCATCCCTGGAAGTGTCCAAGGCCAGGTTGGACAGGGCTTGGAGAAACCTGGGATAGTGGAAGGTGTCCCTGCCCATGGCATGGGGTGGCACTGGATAAGCTTTAAGGTCCCTTCCAACCTTTAACATTCTGGGATTCTGTGCTTGGGACAGGGCGATGACAAAAAAATTTGTTGTTGCTTGGGTCTGCAGGGCTTTTCTGCTTCATTGCAGGGGCCATAGCTGCTTTTACAAACTGCGGGTCCCCACAGAGCCAGGTGGGGATGAAGCAGCTGCTCCAGGCTGGTGGGCTGCTCCAAAGTTTTTGTTTTCCCCTCAAATTCTGCTTTAATATTTCCCTGGTGAAAGGATGTTGCTTAGGCAATTCCTTGCAAGAGGCAGCTTCTGTCTGCAAGGATGTAGGTGTTCCTAAGTGTGTTAATACAGCTTGAAATACCATCTTGGAAACAAAGCATAGGGATGTCTGAGTCCTATTCAGGGGCAGGAAAAGTGGAAGTTGAGTGAGGTGAGTTAGAGGTGATTCTGTTACAGGCTATAGGTTGACTTGTACAATTAGAGCTCCATCAGTGAGTTCACACACTAGGAATATCTTCTTTTCAAAATCAGACCTAAGTACCTGTAAGTGTGATCTCTCTAAAAATTAATTGTTAATTAATTTTCAAAACAGAGAAGGAAAAAGTGAAATATTATAGGTTAGGATTTAATAGAAGAGACACACACATGCGCACAGTGTATATATGTGTGTGTATATATATATATAAAAACACGCATACATATATACATGTATATATATAGATATAATATACAAAAACACTGTATCTATCCTGCCAGGAAAAGAAATGACAAAATCTGTCTAAATATTTTCTCTACCTTGTGGAAGTACAGAATTCCTTAAATATATTTTGTATTACAAAAACACTGTTAGAAAGGATTGTTAGGATACTTAAGTATTATAGAGATAGATCATGACCAGCAAAGCACATGAAATAAGAGTTTCCAGCATGATTTTTTTTTTTAATTCTAGACTAGTTTGTCACAATGAAAAATTGTTGTTATTGGAAATTAGCTCACTGTTAGTATTTAGCTTCAGATTCTGCCTCAGAGAGTGTGCAGGCATTGCTGTGTGAATGGCTCCTCCTTTCAGTGCATAACCTCTGGTAATTTTTGCCTTGGATATGATAACTCTCATTTTTAGTGCAATGTAGTAATGCAAAGATTATATAGCAGATACATAATATTTAATTCAAAATTAAATTTTAATGTCTCTATAGAATGAAGTCGTTTTCATACAGCTTTGGAGTTTTCTGTGAAAAATGTGTGTTGTCTCATATTTCAATAATTTTATTTTCCTATGTGAAGGAAAATATATTCCTGTAAGCATAAGTAAGTAGAAGAAAAATTACTAAAGAAGCTTTTCAGTTCCTTCTGAAATATTTTGTGTCTTATGGTTGAGGTCACTGCTTTCTTCATCTGTAGAAGATGGGCAGGGTGAGAGGTGATGGGAAAAGGACATTTTTGTCATAAGCTTCTAATTCTTGTTTTTATTTCTTAAGCTTAACATATGGTCCAGTGATACATGTTGACTGTGATTTCTGATTATTGGAACACAGTTTTCTAAGTCTGTCTGTGTTCATCTTTGTATGTCTTTAAAAAAATAACAATTTAAAAGAAATCTCCACAAACAATAAAACAGCTATTGAAGGGGAGCAGTGTGTCAGTCACAGTCAGTGTGGTGTCCCCTGGGACCTCTAGCAGAGCTGCTCCTTGTCTGTATAAATGAAGTGTTTAGTGCTTCAGTGTTTTACATAATGTTTCCTTGAATGATCTGAAAGAGGAAGCAGAAGGCACATTAGTTACATCTGCAGATGATACAGAGCCAGGAAGCCACAGCAACTGTAAGAATGGTGAGAAATTTAAATTGATCTGGGGAGCAGCAACGTGCAGGAATTACAAAACTGACAAAAAATTAAAATTTACCATTACAAATTTACAAAATCACCTTGGAAACATGATCCAAACTAAAGACACCTTGTGTGTCAGATTAGCTCAGTAAAGTGTTAATGACGTTTTCTTTCACTCCTTCGGTGAGCAAGGTCTGTTTACCTTGATATCCCACCCAGTTAACTCTTTGTTATGGTATCCTGATCTTCAACCACTTCTACTGAATTTTCCTAGAATTGTTTTCAGTGTCACTACTGTGGTTTCGGTGATGAAGGACAAATAACTAGGCTGTTTCTTGGTTTAGTTGCAAGGAAAAACTAAGCAATATGTAGGAGAACTGAAACGGTCCATGCAGCGTCTGAGACACAGAAAACAGAACAATGAAGTTTATTGTAAGAAAGTAGATAATAGTCAATTGCTTTGCATAAAGACTGAATTAAAGACTAAAGACTGTCAGTGTTGGACTTGGACAGCGAGGAAGATGGGCAACTAAAATTCTCTGTGTCTCTGGTTTATTTATAATTACAATTGCTTTTGAAATGTCTGATTTTTGTTTGGTGTGATTTTAGTTGGCAGTGGTATCAGGCTTTCAGCTGAAATCTGTTGCTACTCACTTAAACCCGTTTTTTAGGATTATGCATATTTTGTTCTTTTGTGCAGAGAAAACTGTGATTATTTGTCCCATTTAAACGTATTTGTTTAATACCTTGTCTCAGTTGATTATATTAAAGCATAAGACAAAAGTGATGTACTCTCCTTGCTATTTCCTTCACAGTACAAGTAGGAGATTGTGTGGCTGTTTTATCTCTGCTACTGCGCCTCTCTGTTTCTGTGGGAAGTATTCAAGTGTGCCCTGAAGCCTTTATCCAAATAGTGTGGTGGTGGCTTGCAAGTGATGAAAAACAGTTTCCTTTATGCAAATGTCCACCTTTGTTAATGCTGTCAGACAGCAAGTGTGATTCAGGGAATACACACCAATCTGTGGGTCACTGATAATGTAATCTAATTTTCAAAAATAAATTGAAAGCATCTTTTCATCCGCAGCCATCAGATGTATGTCAGCTAAAGACAACAACACGTTAGAGACAGCACATGTGAGTTTGCAGGAAAGATATATGGTTAATTGGAAATTAAACCTTTGGATTTGTCACATTTTCTAATAGACTGACCTTGCTGGAGAAGGTCATGATGGTATCATGTGTTGTTGGCAGAGACTTCCACAGATAAAAGATCCAACTTGAAGGACTGTTACTTGTTTCAAACAATGCCTTTGAAATCTTTGTGTGCAGTTATGTTACCAGGCCTTTTTCAGCAAAACTTTGTGTTAGTGAAATTTGCTATTAAAAAGGTGTTAACAAACAATATGCCTTTTTTTTATAATGATGTCTTTTTTTAGTTATTCTCCATGCCTTCCCAAGCAAAAAGAGGTGAAAAAGGAATGAAATAGCATTTCTGATTTTAATAGGTGAGGAGCCACAACACAGGTTGAACTCTCCCCTAGCATGTACCACTTACATTTTTATATATTTTAAGATGTTATTGCTGTGTATTCAAGTTGAAAATATGAGTAATAGTTCTATTCGTAGGGAAATGCAATGCTTCTGTCAAATTTTATGTCAGTCTTTTTGATAATTACAAGATGCAAAAGAGGACCCGTTCTCCTTCTATGTACCCCTCACCAACTCGATGTTTCTGCAGGCATTTCCAGTGGAAGCCAAGTAATTTAAATACTTTTTTCCCCCAAAAGTTCTGCTTGTATTGTGGTTTAGAGCTGGCCAAAATCTGGGTTGTGTCATCCAGCCCACCTCTGCATTTCTCAGGAGCTGCTCCCTCAGTTTTCTGCGAAGTCAGACAGTGGTGCTCCTGAATGTGGCGAGGCTCAGAAAGCCCCATGAGTGTTGTGTAGGCTTTATCAGCTGCAGAAGTGTTCCCTGAGGTAGCTCAGATTCCCCATCCTCTGCCCACTCCAGAGCACCAAAGCCAGGCCCTTCATTTCTGATTTGCTTTTCCTCAGATAGCATGTGTGACCCTCTTCAAGCAGCCTCAATGTCCTTCTCCCATTGCCCCAAACTGCCATGTTGGGTATTTGGGTATCTTCACCCAGCTTTGCACACTTATAGTTCAGCTGGTGCTGGTTTGTATGTATGGCTGAGCCATAAAAAATCGTAGCAAAACCAACAGTTTTCTGTTGTTTTTCCCAGACACAGCAGAACAAATCTGTTCAGACCTCTTGTGTACCCTGAACAACATCCCTACTGCTGAAGAAATACAATAGTTCATTACAGATCCTGTCTTTTAATCTCACTGAATTAACAAGGCTACCTGTTTAATTGAAGGACTCTTTTTATTGTTAAGAACTTGCTGTCTGAACCTTGGAGGTGACAACTTGCTGATTAGATTTTAGATATTATCTGTATAAACCACAGAATGCCAGGATATTTGGGGCTGGAAGGGACCTCTGGAGATCATCCAGTCCAACCCCCTTCCCAGGCATGATCACCTGGAGCAGGTGACACAAGAACTTGTTCAGATGGGTTTGGAATGTTTCCAGGCAGGGACACTTCACACCCTCCCTGGGCAGCCGTTCTGGGCTCTGCCATGTCCATGGAAAGTTCTGCCTCATGCTGAGGGGGCACTTGTTGTGTTTTGGTTTATGACCATTTCTCCTTGTCCTGTTAGTGGGCACCACTGAACAGAGTCTGGAACCATCCTCTGACAGCCCTTGGGGGTATTGGTGTGGATTGATGGGATCCCCTCTCAGTCTTCTCCTCTCCAGAGTTACCAGGCCCAGCTCTCACAGTCTCTGTTCATCAAGGAGATGCTCCAGACCCCTCATCACCTCTGCAAATAATTGGCATGTAGATTATTCCACATTTCTCAATTCTCTGTATGACAAAGTGACTGGTTAAGTATTAAAATTTATTGGAGCAAAGTTTTGCGATCCTTCCTGTGCAGTTGGGATAACACACTCTGTCTTTGTGTCCTAGTTCAGACTTGGCTCTGTGAAGCTGCAGGAGGTCCCAAGTCCGGCCAAGGTGGTGAAGGAGCTCATTGGTTACTGCCTGGACAGCCTGGGAAAACTGCAGGCCAAAAACGAGCACCTGCAGAGAGAAAATGAAAGGCTTTTCAGCAACTGGAGTGATGCAGAGAAGAGGTGAGTTTCACAAGGTGAACACAAGTTTTTATGCACTTGGAAGGTGTTTCAAGCTCAGTTGCCCCCAGACCATGTAGTTGTAGATCTTCCTTGTCAAGGATATAACTAATATTACAAATTTGCAGTTAAAGTTGGTTTTAGCTTTATGAATTAAAAACAAACAAACACTTAATTTCTATTGAATCCTCTTCACTTTCATTAGGAAGCCTTTTCCTTAATGTTATTTTTTTATAATTCTTAGCACTAGCAGTTTAAATTATTTACACTTTTGAGTGGGAAATAAGTTGCCATTGCTTCAATCTGTTTGCCTTGTGGAAGCAGTCAGAGTTGGAAAACTAGTGTGGTATTATGGGAAAAAATGCCAATATTTCGCAAGAGATTTTTATAATTGCTGTTGCATTTATGATCTGAATTGTCTGTCACTCTATAGTGAAGGAATCTGCGCTCGTTTCAGCATAAAACTCTTAGCACAGAGAAGTCAAGAGATTTATCTTGTTTTTCTATAGCTTTACTTTAAAAAAAACACATTTAGGAAGATTGATGAAAGAATGTAGCTAATTGGCATTAATTTACCTTGAAAAAGAGACTTATGGTTTTCTTTCCCTCTCATTAAAAAGAGTAACAATTTCTCCTGACAGTCTCCCTGACAGGCATAGGGCCTCCCTAAGTAGTGTTTTAGTGCTTAACAGTGTAATTGAACAATAGTGTATTGTATAACCAGTACTGCATTACATGCTGATGTGTAAGAGGCATTAGTGCTTGTATCAATTTCCATTGTGGGGTGGCACTTTTACCGGGTAACCCCAAAGAATAGGCAGAAAAAAAAGAAAAAAAATCACAGTTGCCTGACAAACTTTGCTCTCAGAAGCTGTGAAAGCTGGTGGATTTCTTTGGTGTGCTTATAGTTTGAATAGATGAAACGTGGGTTTTCAAAATGAACTCTGAAGGTTTTATGGTCACCAGTCTTTGGCCATGTCTAATATAATGGCCAGTCTTAGCGAGCGAAGATTTGGGAAAGGTCATTAACCCTTCGAGCCTGCGCAGTGGATTTTTTAGGTGAGACCCAGCGTGCGCTGAACTGAGCCCACCCTTTAATCCTGAGGTTCATCTGCCGGGGCCAAGCAAACTTGGACAGTGGCAGTGAGGGTCTCAGAACGTAGGTTTGTTTAGAGTGACCTTCTCTTAGATGGATTGCCACACAGGGCTGATGAGCTCCATCTGCCCGGGGGGCTGGGAATCGAACCCAGGTCGCAGCGGTGAGAGTCCTGCACCCTAACCACTAGACCACATATTATCATGTCTAATAAACAGAGAAGAAAAATAATTTTAAAATAATTTTCACCCAAACAGCGGGACTTATTTTTTTGGTTTGGGTTTTTTCTTTGGTTTGGTTGGATTGGGTTTTTAAAATTCTTTTTGCCACAGCCCAGTCTACTCTTTGCTCTTTTGGCTCCAAAAGCAGGACCCAGTTTCTCAGAGCTGAACAAAGCTCTGCCTGCCTTTGTTCAGCAGGCAGGATTTCAGGATTTACGTTCTGTATCACTCGTGTTGTTGAGTGGTAAAACATCAAATGTAAAGCACGTGATGTGGAGAACTGTGCTCCCGCCTCGCCTGGAGCTCAAGGATATCAACTCCACAGCCTCAAGCCTTGCAGTTCCCTATGCTCAAAGTCTCTTTTCTCAGGATTTCATTAGAATTAAAACATAGCAGGCACACTTCTGAGGGTTGGTTTTATTCTGGTTGACCATGGGGCACTGGATGGAGTAGTTCTGTCATCCCATTTCCATTTCCCTGCTCCAATTTTCTTGACCATCACAGAGGTTTTGTGAGCAAGTGGGTGCCTGGGGATGAGTGTGTGTGCATGCTTACCTCAGGGATAGACGAGTTAAAATATCAGAGCAAAATAGCTGTTGTTCATATTTCGTATAGATGGTTCAAGGCCAGGTTGGACAGGGGTTGGAACAACCCTGTTAAATGACTCTTATTTATGTTGTGGTCAACTACAGTAACAGTATATTTAAACCACAAATAGCTTATAAAAATGCAAGCGAGGTACTTGGGTGCTTGAAACTGACTCTTCAGCATTAGCTCATCAGGATTCCATACCATTGCCAGTGTTGTGGGAAGCGTGACTCTGAAATGCAATGAAGCAGTGCCGTGAGATCCAGGAATTATTTTAGAGCCCTGAGAACAAGGGTGAATAGCAGAGATGTTGAATTCTTTTTTTCTTAGTGTTGGATTGTGGACAATGCCACTAATAAATAAGTGCCAGTAAGTTACAGAGTTCACGTTGACACCTCTGAATTGTGTGGGATTGCTCTGCATTGAGGCAGCACGTAAAAGAACTTGGTTTTCTCAATTTATTATTTGTCATAGGGGTTGGTTTCAGTGGGCTGTGCAAGCCTTTTGATGCCTGTCAACCTAGGTGCTTTGGGCACATTAAAAGCATTGTGCTCACACAGCAGAGAGATCTGAGGATACACAAAATGGAAAGCACCAATCCAGCCATTAACCTCCATTTATTTTACCATGCTCAAAAGTTGTCTTTGAGATGAGCAGTTCCTCTCTTTGGCCTGGGGAGATGGTATTTCAGGAAGACAAATCACACACAGGCAGCAGCATGTGGTGAATTGCAATTAAATTTTGTATTTGTAGTCTGTGAGGTATTGGAATGAAACCCAGACAGCTCTGCTTGGTGGTCAGGTAATTCAGGTGATTCAGTGAATCCTAAAGGCTCCACAGAGCCACCCCACCTACATAATTAATGCATCCCTGTTCCTAAGTGGCAAAAGATTGTTGCTTTTTCACTGCTATGTTTTCAAGTACCAGATATGCCATATAATAGTATATTTTAAAGGCTCATAACTTGCAAATACAGCATTACTGTAATACTGATTTATACTGATCATATGCTGTGCAAAATTAATGTCATACCTGTGTCTGGTGAATGTGTTTGTATGTGCATAACTTTAAAAAGAGAAAAACAAAAAAAGGTGTTCCTGTAAATGAAAGCAATCATATAAGATTAACTGATGGCATACAACTAATAGGTTTTGTGCACAAGGAAGAGTTAATATTCTAATCTATGCATACAGTTGGTATATATATTTCAAGATGCTAGTTTTTTGCTCCAGAGACTGAAGAAATTGTCTAGAATTGCCATTGGTTCCTGTACTATACTACTTACAGTACAGGCAGCATCAGCTTTACTTCACTGGAAGTTTCCGTTTACGTGGATTTTCATCAGTGGATGTCTTTGCAGGATTCAAGGACCTCACTGAAATTATCTTTATATGGCACTTTTTTTGGCCAAATGAGCAAAATTTCTTAATGTAACTGTCTGAACCAACCCCAACTGCTCCAACACAAACCAGTGGCTTGGCAAAATAGAGGCACAGCAGTGATCACTTTTGCTGGTTTCTGTGGGAGAGGGGACTGTTCTATAGGATTTGATACAGACAGGATTAGCATATTTAGACAAAATGCTTTTTTTCACCCAATTTTTAGGTATACAGGCACAATTAGTGTTGAGCATGTCCAGGCTCTTCTGGGTCCTTTATTAGGGTTTATAATTCTTTGTGAGTTGTCTATTTGTTTCCCACTAAACAGTTAACTTCCCTTTTGTAGGTGGAAAGTCTCCTGGTAGTTGATTAGTACATATGATCTTTCATTTAGGCATTATTGAACTGATCCATATGGTAATGATGTTCTGCTATTTGCATTTAAATTAGATGAATTATTTATCAACTATCAAGCATTTCCCTTAAGCATTGCACAGTAGACTTAATATTTCATTAGATTTAATTTTTTTTTGCTACTGCCTTTCTTCTTACATGCTATATGGTTTTGACCTGTGAACAAATTGATTAGTATTTATGTAGGAAGTCTGTTGAAATATCTTACTTTATAAGAGAGTATTTTTTTCAATCTATTACATTTTTGGGTTTAATAACAAAATAAGCCTCCTAAGCTTTTCTTACCAGCCTTGCACAGATTGGTGAAAAGAATGTTTATAAGTTTGACTGTTTGCTATATTTACCATGATCAGCAAGATTATCAAGATGTTTATTTGCTTGTTGTGCACACAGCTAAAAAAATGTTTGTGGTTCAAAGCAAGGATTAAAAGGTTATAAAATATAGGAAACAAATATGGAATTGCATTTGCTACAAGTCATTTCTTTGGCTCATGTTTGCTTGTATTCCAGTTTTTCTTTGCTTATGAGATATTATACATCCGTGTTCTTAATTTTATGTTTCCAATGTGCTTCATTTTATTGACATTGACCTATTCACAGGTGCATATTAAACTTCTTAAAAACATGAAGAATATTTTACTCTGAAGATAATAATTAAGAGCTTTTAAACATTTTTATGTTTGGGGATTTTTTCCCCCCTCTTCAAATATATTTCACATCAGACTGTGTAGTCCAAATTTGAGACCTGTCAAGCTAATCATATATATTTATAATCTCATTATGTGTATCCTGCCAAGGTATACCAACTATGGTGATTCAGTAGTGAAAATAAAGAACACTTGCCTACTTAAATTTTAGTTGGAGCTGTGCAGGAACCCATTGTGGTGGTTTGGACCTTGGTTTTTCCCCCAGAGGCTGAAAAGTGGTAGACCTCAAGGGGTGGAAACCCCTGGAAGTTTTGAAGTTTTGCCCAATGGGCGCTCCTGCAAAAATGTAAACATATCACAAGCTCACCGGAAGAGATGAGTTGTAGTTTAGTTGTTGTTGGAGAGGTGGCCATGTTGTGAGCCACGAGGTAGGGGCTCTGAGCCCCTCGGGGCCTCTGGGCCCTTCCAGCCCCAGCTGGGGGCTACAGAGACCTGGAACAGTCTTAGACTGGGCTAAGTGTCTGTAGTTATGCCGGGAGATGTTTTTCTCCATGGGCGCAGAGCAGCAGCCGGCACTGACCAGAGAAACAGTGGCACAGAGCCAGGACAGATAAGACCTGAACCGGAGAAGCAACAGAGACATGGAGCATCGCAGAAAGGACTCCTGGAAAGGGAGAGAGAGAGAGAGAGAGCCAGCAGCAGAGCTACAGAGTTTGGGGTAAGACTGATACCAGACCCCAAAACTCCCTTGAGACCCCTCTTAGAGAAGAGGGACATGGACTCCTATTTTGGAGAGTAGTTTTGGACATGCAGCACCGGAGAGAGAGAGGAGCTAAGAAGCTCAAAAGACGTCCCGGAGCTGGACCGGGACGGCCAGATGGAATGCGGGGGAAGTTGACCTTGGTCCCCCCCCCCACTGCTGCCACGTTGGTGGTTGAGACAGAGCACGGAGCTCTGCAAAGGTGAATTTGAATCCCCTGAGGAAGGGACTTTCACGAAGATGCCCCTGCATTTCGTGATATACCTGTGGTGACGCGAGTCTTGTCCCTTGTCCCTCACAGGTGAGGCCTTCGCTTGGACCGAAGGAGAGCCGAGGGGCTTGGAGACCCCCTTGTGTGTATTGAACAGAGATCCAGCTACAACAACCCAGCTATCAGCTGCTGCATGCATGAGAAGAAGAAACCTGCTGCCTTGGAAGATACTCCTGCTGTTCAGAGACTGGAAGGGATCTGTCCTTCTTTCCCTCCTGGACTTTTATTTGGAGGGGAGAAGAGATCTGGTCCATTGTAAATACTATATGTCATGGTAGAGATATTGTGATCGTGTGTATAATGTGATATGGTATTTATTTGTACAGTCACTGTAATATATTCCCTTTCCCCATTCTGAGTCTGGTGTGTTTTGTCTGGAAAAACCCATCTCACATTAGGTTGAGATGTGGGAGGGGGCTTAGACTAGGGGATTGCATTTTGAGGCTATCTCAAACCATGACACCCATTAAAAAAAAAAGGCATGAAGAGAAATGTTCACATTTGGAAACTTTCCCCTTTTGGTAGCAAAGTTCATTTCACTTTTCTGAGGGGGGAAAAAAAAAAAGCTGCTGTTTCAGACACAAGGTGCTGGACTGGTACTGCGTGGTTTGGAATGGAGATTCCTGTAAGAGGAAGTCTAACCTCACTACAGAATTTTCTTCCAGGAAACAGCAAATTATTTTAAGAAGAATTAGCGTAATAGTTAATTTTACATTGCAGGCTGGAAAAATGTGTGGAGGCTAAAGAGAAGCTGGAGGCAGATCTTTATAACCGGTTTATTCTGGTGCTGAATGAGAAGAAGGCAAAGATAAGAAACTTACAGAAGTTGCTGAATGAAGCCAAAGAATCTGCAGCAGATGCCAAATGTACCAGGTATTCCTTACATTTCTTGGCTTTCTTGGTATCTTACCTGGTGCATATTTTAGTTTAGTTTAGTTTGCATTCCTTTGGCCCTAACAGGGAGTGACAGTTCTACCTGGCTGAGAGTTGCGTTATCCATAACAATGCTGTTAGTAGTGGGAGAGGAGGATTCTTCCTGGCACCCCTGTAAATAGCAGCATATTGCTCTGGATGCTGTGACTAAACATCCAGTGAATCTGTCCTGTTTTCTGTGGGGCTGCAGCTGATTTTCCATTCATACTGTGTCCCTGCCATTTCCATATGTGGTAATTTTCACATACATTTTCTCTGAATTATTTGATTCCTTTGGGAAACAAAAATATCTAATTTTTTTCAATTTTTTTAATGTTTTCTAGGGATGATATAACTACTACTCAGATGGTTATAAAGAGAGAAAATGACTATGATGCCAGCACTGATGAGGAAAGTGAAAGTTTAACACAGGCCTCATTACCATCAGGTAAGACAGAAAGTATTGTCTTTGTGTGATATCACAAACAGGCTTTATGTGAATACACCTTAAGGAAGGTAAAATACTACCTGACAGATTGCTCTGTGACAAGCCAACCTGCAAGCCTTAAAACCACCTCTCTTGAAGCAGAGGATAATACTGCCATTTTCAAATTAGAGAGAGGAGGTTTAAAAGCATATTGCGCAAGTGAAGGCACTGTCACTTCTTCCAAAATGACAAATTGCACACTTTGCAAAACTAATGACAGTCTAACAGTACCTGAACCATCAACAGTTCCATTTGAAATTCTGGGAATCATGATGTGTGCGCAATGATTGATAAAGTGTAAAATGTAGTTCCTGACAGTTTCAATAGTGTTTAAAAAGATGGAAAGAGAGGAGGTTTAACAGCTATAAAAAGAGCTGTGTGTGTAAATGGAATAGAAATGTATTTATAGCAGAATTCACTTTAATTTGTCAGTGAATTTTTGGTCTTGTGAAGATGCTCGTGAAACTTAATTTGACAAATCTTTCCAGGACTAGAATCTTGTAAAGTGTGTGGGATACAGCGATGGCCCATTCTACAATACCAGATACCGTGAATCAGAATTTTGGCAAGTTTTTGACAAACTAATAGGAATATACAGGACAAATAAGTTTCAAAACTGCATTGATAGTTGCTATATGGTTATATGCGTGTGTATGTATATATATGTGTGTGTGTGTATATACATATATATATTTCTGTGGGTTCTCTCACTGGAGCTTTTTATTTCCACTGTAGGTAAAGGTAATCAAGACAACACTGTGTTTTTGTAAACCACCAGTTTTCTGTGCATACCTGGGAACCAGGAGTGTGCGAGACCCTGATACCAGTGATAAACAGCTTTGTCACTCCTATGAGCCTGTTTGTTGAGGGCTTTCTGGGGTAATATCAATTAAGCAGAGCTTTCAGGCAAATAGAGAAAACTGAAATAATGGAAAGACATCATTTATTGTTGTTCTGTGCTTTTCAGAAATTTTTGCTTTCAAATGTGGGTTGGTCATTTCGGATGACAAGGTGAGAAATACTTTGTTTTGTGAAAAGGCAAGGAAAAGTGGAAGATGTTGAGTCTTTTTCTAGATTCAGGGGGACTTAACTAGTTCAGTGAATGAGCTTTTGGTATACCTGCTTTTAAAAATGAAAACAGCCCCCACTGCCCTGCTCAGCCAGTTGTGGACTGATCAGTGTAATAGGAAAATATAGCAACTGTGTTTTAATTTGCATTGTAAACAAAAATGTGTTTTCTTTTGCCTTTGAGGGCTGCAATAGTTAGTATTTTGTCCTGACTGTAGAGCTATTCCAGCAGCAAAATTTGAAAATAATATGAAAACTGTAAACTTAATCCTTTGGGTAACTCAATAAAAGTTTTTCAAGGTAATGGCATTGTTGCACCTGCACAATGAGCATCACTTAGGTTGGGTGATGCTCCCCCTGTGTGCACAGCTTTCTCTTTCAATGAACAATAGAAAAGCACAGATATGTGCTGAGTATCTGAAGTCTGGCCTAGGATTTTCAGATGCAAAAAAAAGTCTGAGGCAGACCAGGTCTCCATGGAGAAAACAGTGATTCAGGGATGAGTGGAATGAGTGGATAAATGAAGCTTATAGATACATGACACATTAGGGACTGTAAGACATAAAAGATAATACAGATTATATTTGGGTTTTTTTCTGATTACCTTAGTTTTCCTATTTCTTAGTCAAACATGAAATTGCTTTTCCTTTTGGACTTGGAGTTTCATTGTGTGGAATGCAGGAGTCAGTAAGAATTAAAAGATCTTTGAGTTCATTTTAGTAGATATTGGTGAAACCCACAATCAAGAGAGGAAATCATAATTAAATAACTTCTTTGGAGGGAAGTGAAGACAGGTGGGTATATGCCCATATATGCATAGTAAGAGTGCATTTCCACATGTGCGCGTCCAAAAAATTCACTGGGAATTGAAAGCAGTGGTGTTCAGCAGCTGATTTAGTTTGCGTTTAGAGGTGAACACTAGGGGTAGTTCCGCCATAACCGTAGTTCTGTTCTGTCAACTAAGGAGGATGTGAAACAGAAGCTGTGAAACATAGACGTTGTAAAATCAGTCACCTACTCAGGATATGTTGAACTACAGAGTTTAAAACTCAGAAGATTTTGCTTAACCATCAATAATTGTTTTCCTTCCTTAATTTTTGGGGCACTGAAGATATTCCAGTGGTTTTGGAAAAAAACCCTACAGATACTACAAGAAAATTAAATGGCATTTTTTTATAATAAAATTAAATTTTTAGTCTGGTGTAGATCTGATCCAAAGATTGGAACAGGACCCGAGGAAGAAAAATATTAAGAAAAAGTGTAAGAATGATTAATCGCAATCTTTGTAAAGGGGCAGAAACTAGAGCCTGAAAACTGGGACTTGTTTCATCTGTGATGAGATTCCCAGCTGTCTGGTCAACTAGTGAATGACTTGCATAAGATATCATGTTGCACAATGTTTTATTCAAGAAATTAGAACATGGAAATTAACATAACATGAGATAAATACATTTTCAGATAAGCCTGTCTGTTTGTTTTAAAATACAAATGGAGAGTTATCAGTTCCTGGTATCTTTGGAGTGTGAAATTGAGGGTGATTTATTTAAACCAGTTTGCATTTTGTGATACACCAACTATGAGCAAAACGAACTAACACAGTGTAATGCCATGATTTTCAATCCTTTTACAATTCACTTGGGAAAACCAACAATATCTCCAGCTGGGCTTAGTGTAGCTCCTTCTGCCACTTAAAGCTGGGATTATCTCCAGGGTCTGCCATCTCCTTCCCCAGGTGGGGACTCACCAAGAGCTTCTTGATGCAGTGCTATGTCAAGTTTGGACATCCAGGTTTGAAGAAAAATGTACATGTTACCAAGATAGAGACAATAATGTTGTGATAAGAGTAGAAGCTTCCTCCTTACAGTAGCAGATAAAGTGTAACCTAAAAATTTACCTAAAATTTTAGGGTTTTTGGCATTTACAGTACTATTTGTAGGTGATTTAGGGTTTGCTTTTTGACAGCAGTTTCTGCTTCATAGCTTAAAGCCAAGATCAACTGAAACATGGCAGTTTTTGTCTCTAATCTACACAGAGATGTAGTTAATGCTTTGTATTGTAAAAGAAAAAACTAAAATTCAATTAGTAAGTATATTAAAGCACTCAGAAAAACAGCTGATGTGTATGAGAAGTAAAACTTTTAGAAACAGTATTACATTTATAAATAACACTGTATGTCATTCCATACAACAGCTTTGCCCATTGAGCCATGAGCATGGGGTGAAATTTATATGAAATATTGGTTAGGATTGTGAATGTGAGATTGAAAAAGACACACAATCCCAGCTTTCACTGCAGTTTAATAAATACTTATGCAGCAGCTACAGATGATGTGTCAGATCCTTGTAAATGCCTGTGAGCTCCTGTTTGAGAGAGGAAGGAGGAGATGAAGGAAGTCCTACTGTTCTTCATGAATGAGGTGTTAGGAATGTTTCTTGGGAGAGTGGGAAGTTGCTTTTGGTTTGGATTGTTATTGTTTTGGTCCAGGGTTGGTAAGATTCTGTCTGACTCACCAAAACCAGGTAGTAGTTGTTTTTTTCCCTACTGGGACATCAACAAATTTTCACCTGGAGCAGGCTTGGAAATGTCACAGAGGTTTTGAGTGGAATGAGACTGTTGCTCTTTTCATGTGCTGTTGCCAACTGGACCTGTTTTTATTTTAAGGGGCTAAAAAAAATGGCTAAAAGTGGCCATTACTATATTTCTCTTAGTCCACAAGAGTGACTGGGTGACTTAGCATGATGCCACCACACTGGTGCAAGATGTTTCTGTCATTTTAAAATTCAGAAACACTTACTCTTTAAGTAATTAATTTAATTTAACTAAGTAATTAAAGTATTCTCTAAGTATTCTTGTTTAAGGACAATCTAGAACGTAACCCAGCTGCCACTGATTCCTTTTTCTTCTCCTCTGTGCTGAATTTTATTGCTGCTGAGTCCTCCCAGAGATCCTAAAATGACAATAAGATTATCAGACTAATAAAATATCATTTGATATTGTGGTTGGCACTCATGTCTTTGCCCTACAAATTAGACCCTCTTATTAGCTGAAAAATACTTTAGTGATCCACACGTCAGAAAGTTTTTTTAAGCAGGAATAAGGATTGGATAAACTTTTCTGCTTCCTTCCCAGCAGCTGGAAAGGTAGATGGAGGAAAAAAGTTTCTCTCTTCACAGTGTTTGGAAAGTGACCAGAAGAGAGAATATTATTCCTCTTCCCAAGTATGTGATGAAGCTGCAGGGAAAGATTTAAATACTGCAATCTGTAATAGATGTGTGAAGAATAAGGTAGCAGATAGGAGATAAGCAATGGAAGGAATTATTTTACAATGTATTATTGTTATTTCCAGTTATAATGCTACTATATGTGGCTGCCTGTAGGCAAAACAAGGCTACTGGGCACCCATTTATACTCAGCTTGCATCCTCTCTATTTTAGTTTCTCTTGTCCCTGAGTTCCTTAGATGTATTTCACATTATAATTGGTGGAAGTTAGTGCTCCTTGGGGTTAGGAATCACCTCATGATCTAGTCTGTTGGATTAAGTAAATTTTATGATCTGTGTTTCTTGCCATGTGTATGGAAATATTCCATATTAAGTGAGTCCTCAGACATTCAGTGCTCATACTTTTCTGCATGTTTGATGGTGAGGACAGATTCAGAAGTTGCTCTAATAAACTCACTGTTGTGCCTACAATAAATAAGAACAAGCACCTTTCCACTTTCCACTGCTTCACTATGCAAATGTTCTCATCCCCCTCACACAGATTCCTGCCTTGGGGATTGCGTGTTGTGCCTTCAGGGGTCTGTGGCTCCTTAAGTTTAATTAGCTCTCTTGTGTAGTCCAATCCACCGATGGCCTGATGCTGCTGGTTAATAAGCTTTGATCACAGTTAATA